ATCTATTTTTTTAGTGATAACAATGAACCAGATAGGTAAAAAATATTTCATTTATAAATTATTAATTTTCTGTTATAATATAGTTATATTTTATATATTTTTTAGCTTGCTAAAGGTTAGACTTAGGTTAGACTATTACTTTACTATTTAAATTTATTATTTATTTGTGCATTTGCTGTTGGGGTGAAATGTTTATCACAGAAATTTTAATATTTTTTATGTAAATTAAAAAAAATTTGTTTTCAGAAAATATTTTCAAAAACATACAATCGATTTTATATATATTATATTTGCTAGAAATAATTTGTTTAAATTTTCATATGAACAAATATAAACTGCAACATTACTTTTATTTACGGAAACTATCCGGCAGCTGAGTTGCTGCAACCTTTCCGTAGTTTAACTGTTTAATTTAAACAGAAGTATTCGTTTATTTATGGAAAAGTTCCGGCAGCTGCAGATGACCAAACGCCAAAAACGCGCTTTATTTTTAACAGTGTATAACTCCTCCAAAAGAAACAAAAGGATGTATAGTTGCACATTCCTTTTTTCACTTATCATCTTTTGATAATTTTCCCCCCTCCCAGCATAAACTAAACCATGTGCTGTACCATCAACTCCATAGTTTACAAACTGAAAGGTTTTGTCATGATTGTAAAGTCTAGTGGTATCAAAATCTCTCTACCATACACCTGTTTCTAAATAATTTGCATCAATGAAAATATTATTTTTTATAAGTTCTTCAGCTAACGAGTTAAGATAGTTACACACCATTTCTATTGTACAGTTAAGGGCACAATTTATAGATAGATTTATAGATTTAGAGATCTTTTTTTTGCGATGCACTTTTGATATTTTGCATCCCAACGCTTCCGAAAAGATTTGCTAAGCTTCTTTGTTTGGAGTGCTTGCTGAGTAAAAATTGAATAATATACCTTCTTCTTTTGGTAAAAATTGAACAATTTTCCTTCTCTCTTCCAATTTCAATGACACCATCAAGTCGTTTGTTAATTGTTTATAGATCTTCAACTAGTGGAAATTTTCCTGAATTGATCGGGGCCCAACCACATTTATTGTTAATTTGATACCACTTAATTGCTTCCTTTAACTGCTTATTTTTTATCTCTATGACAACTGTTTCCTTTAACTGATTATTTTCATCTCTATGACATCTAATAATAAAATAGAGCATTGCATCTTGAGTTGTTAGTTGGCTTAACTCTAAAAATACAACTTTCCCATTTCTTAATTATTCACAACTCAAAAGGAATATTAAAATACACTTGCGTACTGGCACTTTTGTAAACACACTACAGAAGTATAACATCGTGAAAAAATTGAATAAAAAAACTTTTCTTTTTTTTAATTAAGTATCATTTACCTAGCATTCTCAGGTTCCTAAACCTAGCATTTTGCAGTGGAATATAAAAAGTAAAAAGGGTAGTTGAACCAAACATTTAAAAGTATAATCAGCAGGAAAAATAATGCTTTTATGCAGAAATTCATGATTTTGTAACCAAAATTGGAAGCAGTACAACCTATTATTTAACCTGACATTCTGAGGTCCCGATTGAAAAAAGTATATCCTAAATATTTATCTAAAGACACATGAAAATGGTGCTCCCAAAAAATTTAACCTTTTTAGCATTCTAAATTAGTATTTTGTCAACTCTTAAAAGTAAAAACTAAATTACTGCCTTAATATTTTGTCTTAACCAAGATATTAAAAAATAAATAGCATTCTGAGGTCTTTTTACCTGTTTATTAGTTTAAAGTAAAGAGATATAAAACTTAAAGTAAAGCGATAAAAAGTAAAGTGATATAAAATTTATTAATTTTAAGCATATTTGCAAATAAATATAAATATAAATATTTTTTTTTGTTTTTTTTCCCCCAATATTTCATTTCCAACAAAGCTGAAAGCAATCACTATTAGAGTTGGAAGTTACTGGAAGAGAAAAGATGAAGTTTATAGAGCAAGATAACGATTAACAGATGACTTGAATGATTGCAAATTATATCAATCAAGAAAACAAGATGAAGGTAGCAAATTCCATAGAGTTGAGGTTAAAGGAAAAAAACAGTCACAGTAAAAAGTATGAGACTTAATTTAGTAACGAGAAACTCAAGAATGAATTTTAGTAGATGGCACTAAAGGCTAGCTCTTTAGAGCAGTGCCCATTATAGTATTTACAGAAAAGAGAAAGAGAAGCAACATTACGACAATGTGACAATGGTTGAAAGTTGGCTACAAGAGCAGGATCAACTATGTTTACAATTCATTTTTGTACCTTGTCTTAAAGGGAAATGGCATCATTTGAAGATCTGCTCCAGATATGGTTACAGTATTCCATACAAGGACGGATTTGAGATTTATAGAGATAAAGAATAGAATTCAGAGTAAAAAAGTGGTGAGAAATGCTAATTTTGCAATGGATTTGATATATAGTTTCTGAGCAAAATCGGAAGTTAAAGTTAATCTTAGAAGACGATGGTTAGATGATAGATTGAGTACTCACTGCTCATAAATATAAGAAGCTCTAGATTGTTACGATAAGGATTAACTGAAAAAAAATGCATTTTATCTGAGTTAAAGTTAACCAGCCACTGAGAGCCTCATGCTACAGTAGAAGTGAGATCCTTATTTTAAACTTAAATGCCCCCTCCAAATGAAGAAGAATGCTGTTCATTGAGGACAACTTTAATACCACAATTGGTAAGGAAGGATTCAATAGCCTTAAAAATGTTACCTGATACACTGTAAGAGGAAAGCTTATAGAGAAGACCAGCACACCAAACTTTATCAAAGGCTTTAGAAATGTCGAGAGCCGTAGCCTTAACACCTCCACATTTATTTAATGCACAATAAAACCTATTAGTTATTACCATTAACAAATCAGCAGTAGAAGAAGATCGAAATCAATATTAATGATCAGAAAGTAAGTTATTAGATTCAAGATGAGAGATTAAGTGTTTGTTAATTAAAGACTCAAAAACCTTGCTTGAGATAGGAAAAAAACATTTTGGACTGTTTTTAGACAAGTCAGATCGCTCTCCAAAATTTTTGAAATTAGGAACAACAGATACCGCTTTCTAGCAGGCTGGAAAATAAGACTCTTATAGATACTTGTTAAATAGTTTTGAAAGTATAGACTACAACAGATATGTTGTCTGGACCACATGCTGTAGAAAAGTCTAAGCATAAATTTTAAGATAAAATACAAGATTTGTGACCTGAGAATAACGCAATTTGGCATTAGACAAAACCTTTTTACAATGGTTTCTGGTAATAGTAACAGTAGTCTGTTTTCTAGAGAATTGTTTAGGCAATAGATATGGTAATAATGGTTACAATTGAAAATTGCAGCAGCACAACAAGAGCAAAATCATGGAGAAGAGTGAAGCTTGACTTGAAATCACCGAGAGGAAATAAAAGATTCATTACCAGCCTTAATGCAAGAGCCTACATAAGAGGCACATTTGTCAGAACGAAGACAAAAAATTTCTACCCAAGGGTCATCATAAAGAAAATCATGGAAAGAGTGCCAGCTAGTTTTAAGGTAGTTGCAAGAGGTATGATGATAGGGGGATTTTGATGGTGAAGAAAAATAAGATGATAGAAGCACCTAAGGGTGAATGTGGAGAAACTGAACACTGAAGTCATGTAGAGAAGGTAAATGATTCTACTATAAATTTGACCAATTGTGTTAGAAATTGAGCAAGGCAAAAATTGCGGGCCTTACACCAGAACACCAGAGTCACTGATATAAGAACCAGGAAAATTAGTGTAATAAGCATTAAGGTCACCAACAACAACAATATTGGCTAAAGGATAAAGAACCTGGTCAATTTGATTAGAAATAACATTGAAACAAGGGCATAAAAAACAAAGAGAAAGGTGATAGAGTGAAGTCGTGCTAAACGAAATCACGTAAAAGAATAGTCTATGGATTTAAACCTTGTTTTCTGACAAATGGGTGAGTTTTTATGAATGTATATCCCCAGGCCAAGCATGTAATTATTGGAGTCTTTACAAATTAAAGTAAGATAACCATCAACACTAAGATCGCAAGATGAAACAGCTGAAGTCAAATTAGTCTCACAAGAGCAAGTAGGTCTGGTGAACTTTACAAGAGATGAGACTGAACAGAAGAAAAGTTACTTCGAAGACCATGAATATTAGTGAAAGATAGGTTTAGAGATTTTGGTGATGACAATGGTTTTTTGTGTTTTGTAGTTATTGGTACTTTAGTCATTTTTAAGTTTGTTAAAGAACTTGACTCAAATCATAGATAATACTCAGTACACTATTTAATATTCCAAACAATTGCCTCATTACTATTAATAAACTCTAAGCCGTAACAAAGGGCTCCAAATGTGGCATTGACAATGCACACCAAAAGTACAAACAGGGATACCATCCATGTGCAATATGTCATTGTTAGTACTTTGATATTTTATAGCTGTTAATAGAAACAGCATTTCTGAAAACTACCACAGAGTTCGGTAAACAGGACTACCAGCCGGCCTCAGAACCATAAAACTGAGTTTTAGAGCTGCACCTTCATTAGGAGATAATAGAATAAGTTGCCTGTCATAAAAATAGAGACACAAGCAAAACCCATGCAATCAGTCAAGAAGATCCAGTATTCAACATTCTAAACTGGAAACAATGTATTATAAATGCATCTATGCCAGCCTTATAGATGAAGAAGAGGTGCAAAGCTAGTCAACAGATAAAATCTGTTTACCCCTCAAGTCTTTACCTAGGAGGCCTTCTACAAGATAGTAGGCGGATGCATTTAACATCTGTCCAAGATTTTTATCAAGACACCATCTCTAGCCTTTACTCAACCATATTTCAAATATTTTGTAACTAATTGCTTGTTATACTTATATAATTAACATATCTAGCTGTATTAAATTGCATTAATTACTTTTTTAAATATATATAAAATAATAATATTCAATAGGCTATAATAAAAGTATGAAAAATAAACCTTATGGAATAGACTCCATTTTCAGAAGAATCATATATCTTTCCTTTCTCCATTCTAAAAAAATAAAAATAAATATAATATAATTTCTGATTACTTATACCAAATGCATTTGGTATAAGTAATCAAAAACACGATAATAAACTAAATGATTTTACGCTATTAAAAACTCAATCAGATATTGATCTTGGCATAACCATCACAAATGACTTAAAATGGAAACCTCACATTAAAAACGTGACAAATAAAACAAATAAACAACTTGGATTGATTATTTGTTTTATTTGTCACATAAAACACTCTTTTAAATGCTAAAATGAAACAGCAGGAAAACTTTTATACAAAACATTAGTACAACCTTATCTTGAATATAGAGCAGTAACATAGAACCCTTTTAGAAAATATGAAATTGATAAAATCAAAAAATTACAACATAAAGTGACAAAAATGGAGAATTTAAAGGTTTTATCATATAAAAAAAGGATTGTGTAAAAAGTGAAACATTAGAAAATAGAAGAAAAAGATTAAATATTTTTCAAATGTTTAAAATATCTATAGGATAAAAAAAAAATGAATTCCCTATCAATTATATTATAACAACTACAAGAAGACCTAATATGAGAATTAGAATAAATGTCAAAGTAAAATGTTTCAACTTTATGACCAACCGTGGTAATATTGAAATAATGATCATGTTTAAATATTTATATGTATACTTCTATATGATTTATATATTTCATTAATACTAATGTCTGAAATTCATTTAAAAAATGTTCTATAAAATTTTGAAAAAAATAAACAACAAAAAAAAACAAGTGTACATAATAGCAAATGCTAAAATAAAAAGTTGTGTTGCTGCAAAAATGCACACAAAACACCCACATTTGGCAAAATGCTGCTGTGATATGCACCTGCAAGCAATGTGTTAACTGTTAGATTATAATTTAATAAATAATTGTTACATAATAACTGTATTATGGTCGGACAAACCCCAACAACAAGTTTTAAATCAAAAAATATGTAAAAATGATTAAGTTAAAGTAATATATATTTTTTCAGTTTAACATTCATGGTTCCACACTAGTGCAATTTGGAGTCTCATATTGTCATTTTTACATAAATATGGAAGAGTTGAAAGGAAGAGTTAAAGCAACTTTTACAACTTAACATACCTATTTATATGCAATAAATAATAAAAAAAATAATAATTTTGATTGATACTAAATTAATGCTTAGTTTTAAAAAATAAACCAATTTAGTCAGAAAATGTTAAAGAATTTTTTTTTTATTTGCTCTTCTTTTAACTCATCTTATCATTTCTCTCACTTCTCATTCCTTTCACTTCTTATTCTTCTCACTTCTCATTTTTCTCACTTTTCATTCCTTTCACTTCTCATTCTTCTCACTTCTCATTCCCCTCACTTCTCATTCCTTTCACTTCTCATTCCTTTCACTGATTATTCCTCTTACCTCTCTTTCTTTTCACTTCTCTTTCTTTTCACTTCTCATTCCTCTCATTTCTCAATCTTTTCACTTTTCATTTAACTGAAAATATAAAAAAACAATTATCTAAATATTTTTTGGAAATTATAATATTTTCAAAAAAAGTTTTTTAATAATTTATTTAAAAAAATACTTTTTATATTTAGAACCATATAATACCTATACGGAAGATTTTATCGGGTTAATAAAAGTGGGGTGGGTGGAAATTTTCTCAAATCTAATAAACGGGGGGTTGTATTATTAGTTTATAATTTATAAATCCAAACTAGTATTTTTTACAAACCATGCATAAATTTTTTTTTTGAAAATTATTTTAAAACAACTTTTTATATTTAGAACCATAAAATACCTGTAACCATAGATACCTGTACGGAAGATTAAAATTAGAATCTCCTTTCTCTACTTCTTCTTTAAACTAAAACAAACAACAACAACAGAGTTTTATCACGATCTTTTTAAACTGCCTAATGTTATTTCAATGCTAAATCAATATTAGTGTTGTAAAAAATATGTTAAAATTAAAAAAAAAATGTACCTGCTGGAGACAATCAAGAAATGCAACCATAGCATGATCGAATCTAAAGTACAACTTTTTTCTTGGTCAAAGTTTTTAGTGAAAAAAAATTTAAATAATTAAATGATATTAAAATCATAAATATTATTAAATTATATTTCTTATTTAAAAATAAATAAAATCAAAATTATTCAATCAAATTTTGATTGACTTAAATTGCAAAAACCTACTTGGTATCCCAAAAGAAACGAAAACCACCTGATCCATACCTAAGATTAAAAAATTTATTAACAATCATAAGATATTTTTTTGACTAATTTTTTATTCAATGATAAAAAATATTTTGGTCTGAAAATTGTTTAATTATTCTACAATGTTTTATTTGTGAAGAAGTTTTTCTTTACAATGGTAATTCCTTGGCTTTGTCATCTAGACATTCTAAATATGAATGATTCCCATATGGCACCAGCTGGTATCTAAAAAAAG